TAAAAACTCATGAAAAAATTTCACATTTTGTTCACGCTCATATTTATATTTGGGCAATTTGATTTTTTAAAATTCACTTCAAAGCTTAAGCCGAATGGAAAACAAGTACGCTCTCAGTTATTATCAAAACTGTTCATATCAAGCCAAAACACTGAATATTTTTTATGACTGAATACTTTTTCGTACATACACAGATACATACATACTTACATACATACCTACATACATACATACATACATACATACATACATACATACATACATACATACATACATACATACATACATACATACATACATACATACATACATACATACATACATACATACATACATACATACATACATACATACATACATACATACATACATACATACATACATACATACATACATACATACATACATACATACATACATACATACATACATACATACATACATACATACATACATACATACATACATACATACATACATACATACATACATACATACATACATACATACATACATACATACATACATACATACATACATACATACATACATACATACATACATACATACATACATACATACATACATACATACATACATACATACATACATACATACATACATACATACATACATACATACATACATACATACATACATACAAACAAACAAACATACAACATAAATACATAAATTCATGCATACATACATACATACATACATATATACACAAAGCTTGTTCTTTAAATTTTTACATGGACGAGTTTATCGATTAAATTTCTTTGAGCATTGAGAAAACCTCGTACAAAAAAAAAGATTTCTATGATTCCAGAAAGCAATATAAGCAATGGCGTTTAATTTCTACCTGTGCGTCTTTTTAAGTGGATTATAACTGTGACAATACTATTGATTGAAAACCACATTTTGACATTTTGTGTTAAATCTTTTTAGAACTTTACTTGCAATATATGCTATAACTTCAATAAATAAATTGAATAACTTTTATAAGTTGGTAGGAAAATATGATTTTAGTAAAATTTCAGTCTATTTTTTGCGAATTTTTTCAGTTGGATGCAAATGATTCGGGTCTTCGGAGCCAAGTCTACGCCCCCGGAGAAAGGACCAGTTGTAAGCTGCTTCTGGGAACTGAAGATGGAAAGTTGGTGAACTGTGACGTAAGCAGTGATAAAGATGACGTCACAAAACAAGGCCTCTTGCTTACCAAGCCGCAAGAAGAGTTGTATGCCCATTTTGGACCTGTTAAGGCCATAGCTATGTCTCCCATTTTAGAGAATGTGTTTTTGACTCTAGCAGATTGGAGTTTTGCATGTAAGTCTTTCAAGGCTTACGACTTATACCGAATTGATCATAGTATTCGATACATGTAATTATGGTTGTTTCAGTGTGGAAGTATGGCTTTGACAGGCCATTGTTGAGGTCAAAAATCCACAATTGTCGGTTGACAGAAATTGCATGGAGCTTGTCTCAGTGCTCCACATTTTTTGTTTCAAGAAGTCAGTATACATTTTTTGCAAATATTTTTTTGCAAATATGGTTCATTTCAAATACTGAATATAAATTTGAAAAAAAAAATTATTTCAGGTGATGGTTACGTGGATGCCTGGGATCTGTTGGAGAGGACACAAGACCCAATACTATCCCAGAAGATTTCAGACATGAAGTAAGTTGCAAAGCCAACCCACTCAGTTAAGTTCGGGGTGACTTGTTCATAGACTAACTTCGGATAGGGTACACGCCGTCTGTTCGCAACGCTATCTTATTTTCGGCCGGATAGATTCGTGCAAATTCTTATTCTACCCGCACTGAAGTTTCATGGATAAGAATCGATTGTATTAGATTTTCATTGTCAGTCTCTATAAAATAACAAAAATATAATGATACTATTTTTAAGCAAAAAAATCCCAATTACAATCAATTATTTTCAACTTATCTCCAAAAATTTTTACTTTTTTAAAATAAAAACTTATTATTTTTCTTTTTGAAAACTTATTTTTAAAAAGAAAAATAATCAATTTTACTTGTTTATAATGGATTATAATCATTTTAAAAAATATTTTGGTGTGCTGTTTTCAAATTTTAAATAAAATTATTAAACATATATTAGTTATTTTGTTCTCTCGCTAAATTTGAACTTTTTCCTAGTTTCAATTGCGTATATGAAAATTTATAAAAAGTCGCGTATTTTTGTTATTGTTATAACTGAGATTTATTTGCCAAACCCGCGCTTTAACCCAAACCACCCTTTGGGGTGTGTTAAACGCGTGGGTAGGGGGTGGTTTGGGTTTAAATGCGGAGAAGGAGGGGAAGATGGGGGAACAAGGGGGGACATGGGGGACGTAGGGGGGCTTATTGGGAAGGGGCTTAAGGGGGACGTAGGGGGGGGGGGGGTTAGGGTTAAGGTTAGGATCAAAAAAACTCGAAAATGTAGACAATTTATTTTCAGGTCGGCCGAGTTGATTTTCCGAGGCACTCTCACAACACTAAAAAGAAAGAACGTATTTCGACCAAACTTTCTGCGCTGCAGGCCAATTGCCTGAAAAAAACTGGTCAAAAATGCCGTTTATTGGGCTTTTTTTGAAAAACTAGTACATATTGGCCTTTTCAAAATTAAATCATATTGGCCGCCCCTGGATGAACGTGTTCGTTCGAGTTTTGCAGAAAGTTGCAAAAAATAGAGTCGTTGTTTACAAAATTCAATCAACTTTCATGGATTTTATGAAAAAAAAAATAATCCATTAAATTGAAAACAAAATGGATTATAATCGATTATAATGGATTTCAGTGGACTTTTTGTTTTTCGAAAACAATCGATTAAATGGATTGAAAATCCGTTGCGTTGTCTAAATTTTCCATGATAATCGATTATATAGACATCATTTTAGTCAACAAAAATCCAATATAATTTTTATCCATGAAACTTCGGAGCGGGTAATGCCGATCCTAATCTTACACTTATACTTCCTAATCTCAATAGTTCTAGTATATACTGGTGTTCTTGCGAGGTAGAGGAGAGGAAGAGCAACTGCTTTCTAAGTCAAATTTATTATTTTCTGGCTGAAACTAATAAGAGCAACTGCTTTCTAAGTTAAATTTATTATTTTCTGGCTGAAACCGAGGGGGAACGTGGGGGGAACGTTGGGGGGGATTAGGGTTAAAGTTAGGATCAAAAAAACTCGAAAATGTAGACAATTTATTTTCAGGTCGGCCAAGTTGATTTTCCGAGGCACTCCCACAACACTAAAAAGAAAGAACTTATTTCAACCAAACTTTTTGCGCTGCAGGCAAATTGCCTGAAACAACTGGTCAAAAAAGCCGTTCTTGGGCTTTTTTTGAAAAACTATTACTTATTAGCATCTTCAAAATTAAATCATATTGGCCGCCCCTGGATGAACGTGTTCGTTCAAGATTTGCAGAAACTTGCAAAAAATAGAGTCGTTGTTTACAAAATTTAATCAATTTTCATGGATTTTATGTACAAAAATAATACATTAAATTGAAAACAAAAATGAAATATAATCGATTATAATGGATTTCAGTGGACTTTTTTGTTTTTCGAAAACAATCGATTATATAGATTAAAAATCAGCTGCGTTGTCTAATTTTTCCATGATAAAATCGATTGTATAGACAACATTTTAGTCAACAAAAATCCAATATAATTTTTATCCATGAAACTTCGGAGCGGGTAAAACCGATCCTACTCTTACACTTATACTTCCAAATCTCAATAGTCCTAGTGTATACTGGTGTTCTTGCAAGGTAGAAGAGAGGAAGAGCTACTGCTTTCTTAGTTAAGTTTATTATTTTCTGGCTGAAACTATGAATAAATTTAGCCTTACAAATTATTGTAAGTTTTAGACATGGATCATGATTGGTTAGTTCTAAGTATTTTTCAGTGATAGTCGTCAAGAATATAAATCGATATACAAATTACTTGTTTTGAACTGGTTCCGATAATTTTGCAAAATTTTTAAGTGTCAGCGAACAAATAACGGATGACAGACACTTACTTAGGACATTTACAGTGCTGGATATAGAACTTTCTCGAGATGGTGGGGGGATTTACGAAATAAATTCAAAAAACTCTGTCACCTTTTTTAGGGCGAGTAAATTGATTTTGTCAAAAAAAGCGTCTTTTTCGGCGCGCGTTCATCTTCTAAATTGGTGTATATAGTCGCCAAAGGCACCTTTTAAAAAGTTTCCGGGTCTGTCGGCCTAAAATGCATGAAATAAAATGATTATAAGGGGAATGGAAAATAGCACTCTCCAAATAGGAACGTGAAAAAAAACGTGAACGACGCAAATAAACGTGAAAAAACGGCGCAAAAAACGTGAACGACGTCTAGTTTCGAATTTATTCTATAAATTTCTTAGCGGAATAAAAGTTTTACCTATTGATCCAATTTTGTCAAATTAGGCTAATTTTATCAAAAAGGCCCCAATCATTAAAAATTTAATCAATTTCAAATAGCTTTAAAGGGGTAAAGTTTTTCTTTACAATTCGAAAATTAAAGTTTTTTTCCAAAAGCAAGTCAGTTTTTTTCTGTTTCCTTGCTTCATTACTCTTTTCCAACAGTCAGTTGGCTATGGTTTTGGTTGGACTGATTAAAAACAATAGAGTAACAAAAAACTCCACAAACACATAAACATCCTTTAGTCTAGATTTAAGCGAACACACTCAATATAATCTCTTTTACACTTGGCGATGAGGTAAAGAGCTTCTATGAATGAGTGATAGGAAAGGTCTTGAAAAATTACCCCCTTTTCCAATCGGCCTGCTGAGCTTAATTTCAGTCAAATTTACCTAAAATTTGTATGGTTAAGCAGCAGTATTCAGACAACCGCGTATTCATACTCGTCAGTAAGCAGACAAATACTATATTAACCAAATTTACGAGATTAAAAATTAAAAATTTTGAATTTATTCCTTGTCTCGATTCTGATTGGTTAATATAAGATTTGTCTACTTACTGACGAGTATGAACACGCGTTTTTCTAAATACAAACCGACCGCATTCCTGTTTGTGTATATCAGGCTGTGTTGCCTGGCAGTCAAGCGGTTCTCAAGCAAACAGCAGTTTCTCTGTTGCGGCGACTCGGCGGGAGCAGTCATACTCCTTGAAATCCCCTCTTGTCTCAAGGATCCCAAGCCGGGGGAGCTGAGGGCAATGCATGCTTACATCGAGAGGGAGGAACAACATCACTTGTACGTGCAGGAGAAACGCTTTAGCAGGTACTACAGTTTTGATACATTCATCATTACGAGGCCAAACTGTGCACTGGATAGGCGCACAATTTGGTGTTTGTAGGTCTCCGGAACTCCAGAGACAAGTCTTTAAACATGTAAAAAGTTTGTCGGAACGATCAATGAAAAGGAAACGATCAAAGAAAAAAGTTTTTGTGCGTTAGATAAGAATGATCCCAAAAGTTAATGACTTGTCAAAACAACAAATTTCGTTTACGGGACTTATGATAGCTCGGAGCTATAATAGTTGCGATTGCAAAATTTTGAATAGAAATTTTTAGTCAGAAATCAAACTGCTGTAAGATGATTGCTCTCGAAACTAACCGGCGTTTTTGGCATTAATTAAAAATGGGATTTTTTAAAAATTAGTTGATCAAGTTTGAGAAAATTATCTTTTGCTTGGAAACGAAGTTGAATATAATTAACTGCTTAAGGCTACAGTGCTAATTAAAGTAATTCGAGCAAAGAAACTAATATTATTTGAAACGCGATATCCTCAAATTTAATTGATTTTAGGCGAAAAATGACAAAATGCGAATTCCAAGACAAAACTGCTTGGAGTTTGAGAAAAATTTTTATGGTACAGTTTAGTTTGCTAAATTTGGGTCTAAATTTAACCCCAAGGCTTTTTAGTCAATCAAAAGTATGCCGAAACTATTTGCTTAATTGCTGACAAAAATATATACAGTCAGTTTCTAATATAACGCAACAAAGCTTGAGAAGACGCAAACTTTCAAAATTTGTTTTTAAGCAAATATTTTAAGTTTCATATATTAAAATTGACATTTTGGCCACCAAGCGAAATTAAATTTAATTATACAAAACTGAGACGATTATATCCTTTCCTATTTCAAATAAATTGCACTATAATACTTCTGCTGAAATTTTAAGCAATTTTTGTCCTCATCAGTTGTTGCTTAAATTCAAACCAATTTGATGAAAACGCGTTTCAAATTTCAAATTTTATTCGTTTTGTCCTGATAATTTAAATCAGCACTGTATTATATTAATGAATTAAAGTAATGCTGATGCGTCTTGTTATCAAAAAAAGAGCGGACTGTGTTGCTGAGCGTTTTAAAAATTGGTTCCTGAGAAAGGGAATCAAAAGATAAATCGAGATTTAATTGATGGAGTACACAATTTGGTACAATTACGCAATTTAAATGAAATCAAAATCAGAAAAAAAATTTGTTGCATTTAAAACATTTTATAAGCTTCATTCATGTAGACTTTAATTTTTTGTGCCTCAGACAGTTGATAGCACTTTTATGTGAATATTCAGATATTTTCAAGAAATCACACGCCATATTGTTCTGTTAATTTTACAAGCTATTTTACCCATAAGCTGGTCACACTCTTCAAGGCACATTTTCTCGTACTCTTTTGGCTTCTTTGGAGATTTTCCGAACATCTCTTTTGGAATCGGAAGTTCTTCAATGTCTTCGAGATCTAAATTTTTGATGCCAAGTTGCACCAAGTCTAATTTTTCAAACACAGTGTCATCTTTTTTGAAAAGTTCAATTGCAGAAATGTAAGAGACAGTGGAGATTTGGTCGCCGATGTTCACTTTGTTAATGTTCGAACTCTCGCTAATGATTTCGTGAACTATTAACCCTAAATCTTTGTCTGAATTGCTAGTAGTTGCCGCTATTACAAAAGGACCTGGCACTAAAATTTCCCGTTCGGAATATCTTTGCACGTTGTGATGATGTGGATTTGTAATTTTCATCAGTGTGCACAAATTTCGAACTTCACAAGGTCCAAGAGGTCTGGCGTAGTCGTGAAATATAAGTTGACCTGGACGCAGTTCAAAGTTTTCAGGTTTGGTTTTGACAAAAATGTCTTTGGCGTTGTGTACTTTGTTGAAAATTAAATCCTGAAAAGATTGCAGATGTGTTTTTCGATTTTCGTTTCGGACGTTTTGCAGACCAGAAGTTTTTTTCAAGATTTGATCCGAAAAAGTTAATGGCTTGAACATAGTGCGCTTTTCAAGAGTGAAAACTTCTTCGTCTCTTTGATTCAGAACACAATGTTCAGAGCTAAGCACCGTATAAGTGCTGCTTGCGCTCGTAACAATTTTGGCGTCTATAATTGTACACAAGGCTCGTAACGAATCGCCGACAAAAACTGGTTTCAACTGTTGCGCATTATAGCATCCCAGATGAACTCGGGCCTTTTCACTGAATTTTGAGACGAGCAAAGATAAAGACAATGTTTTAAGCAGCATCAATGGTACCATTTGACTTTCAAACCCAAATTTTTCCGCCCAATTTTGACTGGTGTACATTGGGTTAAACGATAGAAAGCTACTGTGCCAAGCTGTCAACCAAGATTCACTGATGGTAACTTCAGAGTTGCTCTCAATTACTGAACCAATCTTGAATTCATGTTTGAGCCCGGTGCCCAGTATTTGACCCTTAAGGGTTTCGTTTTCCGTACAGATTGGTGAGCCAGATTTTTTCATGACTTTGCTTTGTTCTTTTTCTAACATATTGAATGCCATTTTTATATGCGGTGGGCCAATCATAAATCGTTCGTGCTGCTCGGAACGTGAATAAATTCCAAGTCCAGACCGATTCGGTTCCACAAGTTCGCGAGCCCATTTTAGGTCTTTTGAATCTGAAGAAAATATACGATTAGCTTGTATAGCTTGAGGCACATTCACAGCAGTTGCACCCGAGAATCCGGCATTTTTCATTTTATGGTAGAATTTTTCGGAAGTTGACAAGTCTGACGAAGTAACCGCTCCTGCGATTGGAGCTATGCCATAAGCACGCGATACGATGACTACCTGTGAAACAGCGGCTTCGTCGACAAGTGAATCGGCTTTTCCGAGCGTTATTGTAGTGTTACAGCTTAAACTCATGTCGTAATTTCCGAGCCACAAAGCGGCAATTTTTCCAGAACTTTTTGCAATTTCAGCTGCGTTTAAATATGCCATACTACACTCGATTATCGGCACCAACCTCTGTTACGCAAGCAGTTTAAGCAGTCATACTTGCTGTGCTACTGCATCACGAGAATAAAATAGTTTCAACAAAAAAAACGTTACCTAATTTTTTCAATTTTCTCAAACTGAGTTAATTTTATTAAGAGTAATGAACGTACTGAAGACTCTAATATAGGTCTTGCTGATTTTTTTTTGCTTTTTTCCAGGAAGAAGTCTTAAAATTTGTTCACGCTCATTTTTGATTTTTCGCGGTTTGACTTGTGATTTCTTTTTAAGTTCACTGCATTTCTATTGTTAAATGGTAGGCAAACTCCGCTATTGAGTAGCAAAAGTGTAAAGGTCACGAAAAACGTGATCGACTTTTAATATCGAAAACGCAAATTAAGAATCAGATTCCCCAGCGAAATAAAATTTTTATCTGTTGATCCAGTTTTCTCATTTGAGTTTTATTTAACAAAAAAGGTCCATCATAAATTGTTCTACAAATTCAAACAGCTTTAAGGCCATTTATTTTTCGCTGAAATTCAAAAATTGAAGATTTTTGAAAAATATGTCGGCTTTTGTTCAGTTTCCTTGTGTTCATTACTTTTTTCCAACTGCCAGTTGGCTATGTTCAAAAAATGTCCATCTTTTTGTTCCGACTTTCGATACGAATGTAACGGAATATTTGTGCTCGGGGTGGGTTTTTTTCTTCAGACAAATTTCGACTTTTTAACTAGCCATTTTTGACGAAATTTTTATATCATTCGAAAGGTATTGTTGTCCTAAGCTTAAATTTGAAAAGATATTTCACCTGTGATCATTTTTCGTAAAGTTATGAGGGTTTAAAGATTGCCATTTTGGCCATTTTGACCAATTTGGGACAATTAACGCGCGATATAATTCGCGCTATTAACGCGTAAGCGGAGATTTAATCCGTCTTATAAATCGTTCCAAATTGGTTGAACGAAGCTTATTTGTTACAAAGAACAAAATATCTCTTTTTGAACTTTATATGGCGTGTGGGGTGATGATTTTCATAAAAAGTTTCAAATTTTAGAAAAAAAAATTTCGTTTTATTTTATTTCATTTAATTTTTTTTAATGTTATTACTGCTGCCCATAAATCTTAAAGGCAGTCGGAACATTCACGGCTTTGCCCTGATACGAGCAGTCTTGTTTGTTTTTGAATTTCTAAGAGGTCTAAAGCCATATATTATTTACTTTGAAAATTTAAAGTTGAGATTTTTTCAAAAAAAAACAAGTAAGTCTCAGTTTTTTTGTTTCCCTGCGTTAATTGACTCTTTTCTAGCTGATTTTTGGCTATGTTCTGAATTCCAAACGGAATTCAAAAAACTACCAATTATAAACAGTATTTGAAATTAAAAAAACTTCAACGTAATATTTTTTGTTGAATTTCGAATCTATTGTTTTGAAAAGCTTCATATTGCTAAAAAAATGGAGTGAAACAAATTCAATACTGGGTAGCATTTGTCGAACTATGCATTCCCATTTGTGCTAAAATTCGTGATTTTTTAAGTCTCGGTAACTTTTTTAAAACAAAAATTGGAAATTTCATTTTTGATAAATTCGCTTGAGCTTTCGCATGCCGCTACAAATATGACTGCCTAGATCAAATCACCTTTGTTGTTTGCCCTCTTTTATGATATGAATTCATAACTTCTTCCACATGAAAAACGTCTTGCTTGCAACTGATTTTCGGCAAAACAAATCCACTAACTTGATCAACTGAAAATGATTCCACGTCTTTAATCATTTCAGTGTGATCTTCGATTGCATTAATGCGCACTAAAAGCGGACGCGATTTGAAAAGTCCTTTCGAAATAGCATTCTCGTAAGTTTTTCGAATGTGTGATTTCTCGGAAATGGGAACGGCGTCTTCCATGTCGAGAACAATGACGTCACACTTTGACTCCGCCGCCTTAAGCAGTCCAGATTCAGTTTTCTTGGCAAATAACAATGACCTGATAGGGTGAGAAAAGCGCGAGGCCTTGGCTCTCGGATATTTCCGAAACTGAATTGTTGCGGTCAGATGTTTTAATTGTCTAATTAAGTCAAACATATTTAATGACGAAGTTTTTCAAACGTCCCCAAGCAGAAAAAATTTTTAAATAATCGAAATTAAAATGAACTAAAACAAAATTATCTGGCGTCGAACGTCAATAATGAAACTTATCAAGCTTACCACGGCAACAAAAGTAAAGTTTATTTTCAACAAAAACAATCAGGACCGTGTGGATATATGATATATTATTTGCTTGTTCAAACTTGCAACTTCACTCAAATGCGAATTTTTTAAAACTTGGTATATAATTGGTGCTTTTAATTTTCGGTGGTATATAAGAGAGCCGAATTTCAACCAGCCAAAGTATCAACCAGCCGAATGTACTTAAGTGTTATATAAGGTTAGTGTTATAAAATAAGCAGATGATGTTCTAAGAGCAGAAAAACAGAAAACTATTCACTTTTATTGTTTATACGGGCTAATTTATACTAAACAGTTATTAGAAACGTCAATAATACCAACGAAAATGAATTAATCAAACATGACTTGCTTAATTTCATCAAGTTTGTTTTTATAAATTAAAAAAAAGATTGTCTTATAAAAATTGATATTCTTATGTTTTTCTGCTTTTGGACCCATTCTGTTCTTGACCATCCTGCTCATTGACTGGCCACCAAATTTCATTGACGTGAAATAATTTTTTGGCTGGCTTATATACTCCGTGTATTTTTGGTTGGTTTATACTTCGGCTGGTTTATTTACTCTCACACTTTTGTAAAAAAATATATGTCTTACTTGAAGTCTTTTCTTTTATTGTTCCGACTTTCGATACGAAAAAAAAACGGAATAATTTTGCTCGGGGTGGGTTTTTTTTTCTTCAGACAAATTTCGACCTTTTAACTAGCTATTTTTGAATGGTATATTTTTTGTACCATTCAAAAAGTATTGTTGTCCTGAGCTCAATTTTGAAAAGATAATTAACCTGTGATCATTTTTCGTAATGTTAAGGGGGTTTAAAGATTGCCATTTCGGCCAATTTGGGAGAATTAACGCGCGATATATTTCGCGCTAATAACGCGTAAGCGGAGATTGAATCCATCCTAGAAATTGTTCCAAATTGGTTGAAAAAAGCTTATTTGCCATAATTAATTTGTTACAAGGAGCCAAATCTATTCTTTTGTACTCTATATAGCATGAGGGGTGATTATTTTTGCAAAAAATCTCAAATATTATGTAAAAAACTTTCATTTTGTTTTATTACATTTAAATTTTTTAATGTTATTACTGCTCCATAAACTTTAAAAGGCAGTCGGAACATTCAGGGTTTCGCCCTGATATGGGCAGTCTTGTTGTATTCGTATTGAGTTAGAATAGATCTGAGAAACTATGATGCTAGCGTCATTTTAGTTTTTGAAACTTGAAACAGACAGAGCATTGCCGAAAAAAATTAGTTGGACCTTCAAATAGGTCGTTCTTAATGATGGGATTGCGTTTACTCAGTGTTCATTTTTCAAATATTAACAAACATAGCCGGTTGCTAGAATGATTTGACCACTGATTTCAGAAAAAAAGCAAACAAATTTTTAATTTTTCTGTTGAAAATTCATTTGAATTAGAAGAAAAAGGTTAGAATGAGTGATAATAAAACACGTCCCAATAACCAAAATATGAACTGAAATAAAATTGTTGAATAATTAAATGACTTGGTCTGAAATAATAAAAACGAGTTTTCAAAAAATGTTTTGATCTTGGAATTGTTTGAAAATCTATGACAAGCGTTTTTCCATATCTGAAAATTGCATGATACGCTTTTTGGTCAACCCGTGATGAGTAAAATGATAAAACCTCAAGCACACAACATGAAGGGACACGCCACTTCGGGACACTTCTATTCCAAGCAACAAATTCCGAAAAGAAAATCTCGCAACAACTCCTAAAAACAGTTGCATGCTCATTTTTCTCATCGCAGCTTGAACAAAAAATCTTTTTATACAAAATTTATAAATATAAAAAATTTCTTGTCACATAATTTCCAACAGTTCCAGAACTTCGAGCTCATGGAACTGTTCGGAATAGTATAAAATGAATTTAACGATATATGAAAAATGTATAAAATTTTTTTTGGTCAGCTTGCGATGAGTAAACTGATGAAGCCCAAGCACAGACCATAAAAGGACACGCAAGGTTCTACAGTTTTTTCCAAAGATGTTCTGTCAGTGGTTGTTTAATGTTGCAAACCTGCTTTTGAAGACAGTTAAAGTTTCGCAGGAAAAATTTTGCAAGCAACTGAAAAAATGGCAAAGTTCGTTCGAGTGCGCTTTTAACATGCTTTTATATGAGAAAACCAAAAAGAAGAAAAATAACCTATAATTTGTTAGATACGTCATTTTATTTCGATTATTTTATTTTGATTATTGTTCCGACTTTAAGAGAAGGTGCGTAATGATCTTGCTTGTTTTTTTTTGCTTTTTGTACCATTAGTTGGTTTTGACGCGTTTTACTATGGTCAAAAAAAATTTAAGTAGCAGTTAGAACTTCAAATAGGTCGCTCTTAATGCTGAGAGGGCGTTTATTCAGAGTTAACATATTTGCAATTTCTTTTATTTATTAACAAGTATAACCGGTTGCTACAAAAATCTGACTATTGATTGAAGAAAAAATAGCGAATTTAGAGAAAAAAAAGTTTTTATAAAATCTTTTTTTTCCTCCAATTTCCTGATTTTCTATTGAAATTTTTTGTTACTTTTTTATTTGAAAGTTCAAATGAATTAGGTGAAAAAGGTTAGAGTGAGTGGTAATAGTGGTAATAGTAGTACAAACATAGAGACAAAATTGTGAATAAAAATAAATTTGTTTGAGGAGAACCTCTTTTGAAATTGTCTAATTTAGTATGGAATAAAAGAAAATGAGATCTGTTTTGACTTTTCACAACGAAAACATATTTTTTGAAATTTTCATCGCATTCTAAATCATAAAAACTGGAGCTTCAAGATAGAACAAGTTTTTTTGAGTTGAACGAAATTTGGAAGAATAACAAACTACGAATTAATTACTTCCATCCATTTTGTGAAGTGGTCGGAACGAAAAAAAAATGTTCTCAAGTAAATACGATTCAATATAACAATAATGCCGGGTTGATCTCTATAAACAAAATATACTTGCCATACAAATGTTTTCAAAGATTTGTTATCATGTAATTCCTAACATTGAGTGTATTGAAAAATGCTTGTCATACAATTGAACAAAAATTCATAAATTTGGGGAACATTTTTTTGTTTTTTTTTCGTCACAAAACCGCATTAATGTCAAACAAATTTTTTCGAGAAACAAATGCATGAAAATTTTTGTGCATTTATGTCTAAAACGTAGGCTGAGTTTTTGTGCAACTGAATCAAAAGTGACTATGAAGACTTTTTGGCAAAAACTATGCTGCAGTTTTCAACTACCTAACTTTTTACTAGAATAGAAATTTTCCAGTCATAGACAAGAGTGTTCCGGTTTCTAGTTGTAATTCTGGGTGACCTTTAATACAAAATTTTAGTGGTGACACTTCAAATGTACATTAATTTGGACAAAACACATAAATCATAACAAAAAATGCTCATCAAACAGATTTTTAAAAAAATTGGTTATAATAAGAATTCTTTCAACAAAAATTGCTAATCATAAATTTTTTAAAGATTTTTGAAACTGAACATGTTTACAATTGTATGGAAAGCTTTTTTTTATCACTGAAAATTTGTAGGATCTGTGATCCTAACACTATTTTGGCAAACTAAGAAACTGTCTTCGAGATTGGCAGCAATATTGTAAAAAGATTAAATATTACGTAGTTTGGTATTGACTAATCAATACGATACGCAGAACCAATTAAGTCACCAGTTTTGAAATTGTTCGAATCCTTACAGAATTAATCCAACCTCCAGTAAAAATTTGAAAAGCAGTAAATTGACCAACATACCCAACCGCACCGAATGGGAACTAAAGAAACTAACGTTATGAAATTCATAGGAAGGATACTAGAGATGGATTGACCCCGGAATTCAAAAAACCGGACCTCTCGTACCCTGCTGGCCGAAGTGATAACGGTTGCCAGAAGAGATCGAACGTCCCTATCAGATCTCAGTATCTAACGGTTAACGGAGGGACCAAAATTGAGAATGTAAGCAACCTAGCTAAGTAAAGCTTAAGTTAGAACCAGCATAAGTTTAGAACCCCAGCGATATGGTAGGTAGTGACAAGAGCCATGTTATTTTATAATTAGAATGAAATCCGTCTGTTGAACCGCAAATTTTTAACAAATGGGAAAAATACCAGTTTAACGCCAACAAAATATAGAACAATGGCATACTTTTTTATGGAAACAATAGACACTAGACACTAGACACACACACGCACACACACACACACACACACACACACACACACACACACACACAAAAACACGATTAAACTTGGTAGTTAGGACCCCCAGAAAATTCCTACACTGGATATGAAAGACTGACCCTTTTGATCCCGGGGGTTCTGTTTAATTCACCCCGTGGCTCTGTAGACATTCAGGACCAAAATTATGTACTAAACTTTGGAAATAACATCGGAAACTGCTCAATCCTCAGCCTTAGCCCTCAAAAATTGGAGTCGGTGAACTAAGTGTAATTGATTTTTCCATTGGGAAAGAACCCGAAAAAATTAGGATATAGCTGTTGAGTCGCACTGTTGAAATATTGGATTGATTAAGATTAAAACTAGGCAGACATCGGGTTGAACTTAACTTTGATAATTGGATTATTGTTAGTCACTGAACTAAATCAACGAAAAGTAATACCAGAAAAAATTAGCAGTTTATATAAATGTTATGAAAGCGGCACGGGATTTTATGTTAATAAACAAAATAGATGGACAGGATAATTTTTGAGTTCCTAGGAGGCGGCATTTTGTACCCCTAGTAGACGAATTAACTTCCCCTCACAGAAAGAAAATTGGACTGAATTAGGTTATAGATTGGAAAATTAGAAACTTAAGATACGGTAGGCACATCTGAAAAAGACCCCTCCTAGCCCCAGGATGTCTGAAGGCTAATTAGCTATTTAAATTTAGCCCTTGTGAAGCTGCTTAGCTAAGGCAAACATAACTGATTTTGAGCGGAAATTGAGCTGGATATTTGCTTTGGCATTTGTGTTGACGTGATATCTATAGTGAATTTGGCATTCATAACAAGTGTCCTCGGGAAAGTTTCCTTTGCGCCAGAGTACCAAAATAAGTGACAGCAATTGTGGTGACGATCGTAAGAATAACTAAACTGAAACTCAAATAGACAACCATAGCAAAAAAAGTTACATACAGCCTACCTATGACAGAAAAATTGCACTGAGAGAGCAGACAGTTGGTTCTCATATTTGGTTAGAGAAGAAATTAATTAGAAGAATAGTTAGTTCCCAAAGTTAGAGAGAACAATTAAGCAAGCAAAGTTAAGTATTTTATCGGATTGAGTTTTTGAAGTTGAAGAGTTTGGAATTAAGTCAAGCGATGATTGACGAGCAAGTAAACGAGGCGCTGGCCGCACGGAAAAAACGCGGGCTTGGTTATAGAAGTACTTTGATTGTAGCTAGCTCATTAAGACCTCTGTAATTTACTTTTATATGCTTGGATATTGAAGAAGAAGTTACATATTGTGCCCACGATTTGCTGAATTAGCTGAAAATGCAAGGAAGAGCCGAAGAGAGAATATCACGTGGGAGGGGGAAGTTGGGTAATCCTTTGATCGGCCGATTTAGTCTGACCACTAAATTAGCTCTTTAGAGATTGTGGATAATATCGTGTCGGAATTTCCCCGCTATAACAGACATAAAGTGGAGAAGTTCTATGGCTGTACAGTAAGAGCGTGTTTAGAGGAAAGGTATCCCAGCATTTCTACAAAATGTTAAGATAAGCTGTTTTGGTCAACCCGCGACGAGTAAAATGATGAAGCCCCAATCACAGAACATGAAAGGACACGCAAGGCTTTACAGTAGTTTTCAAAGATTATTCTATCAAAGGTTGTTTAATGTAGCAAGCTTACTTTTTCTAAGAAAAATAAGTTTTACCAGAAAAAAACATGCAAGAGATTGAAAAAAGTGGCAGTTCTTTCGAGTAAAGTGCGAAACATTATACTCGTTTTATGGGATATTTTTGCATCATTCAATGGTTTCAATGCGTTTTTTAGCGTCAATTACCAACAATCGTTTTTTAAACGCGAGCGATTCTTATGTGTTTGTTGCATTTGCGTTTGTTACAGCTCTAGTTTGCTTGCTTTTTTGAATTATTCCTTGGGAAATAGTTTGATGAGTTCATTTTTGTAAATAATTTAATCGAAAAATTTCTGATCACTTTTAGTTTGATAAAACCCTAGAAAACTTCATTAGCCTAAAACATATAAACCGCGTTTTAATGGTTTTACTCGTTCCAGTGGAGTAATTGACTTCATAAACGCTTTGCAACTAGTTGTCTGATGGGATTGTTTGTAAATATTTGATTAGACCAGTAAAAACGGGACAGTGGGGGGACAACGCGGCCATGAATGAACAGCTGGCAAACTTGTTCAAGTCTGACGAGGCAGCTGAGGGCCAGCAGAAGATACAGGAGGAGTTCCAGGAGTACTTGGAGATGGAGTATGAATTGCAGCACAAGTTGGGCATATACAAATTTGCAGATGAGGACAACAGGTAGAAAATCTTCAAAGGGGGGGGCAATCGTTAAGTAGATCCATCAAATATTAGACCCCGTGAACATCACAACAAGCCCCCACCCCCATTAAACAATTTAAGTTAACATGTTCAACACCCATTAAACAGACCAAAGTTAACAAAAAACTCCACCCCAATTTTTAATGTCTATCAAAATTGACGGAGAGCTGGGTGTAAAAAAAAACTCGATTTGATTGGCTGAAAATACTAAATTAGAAGCAATAAATATCTTACCACCTAAACGCTGTAGAGGTATATATACTAGCCTGATCCAAAAATTCGTTTTTGTGTTAGCTTTTAGGAGTGCACTCTTTCCATTTCTCTTCTGCTCAATTAACTTCGACGGTAGGAGCAAAAATTAATGCCGGGTTAACAGTTTGAGGCACGCCAAAATCCATGCTTGTTGTTTGAGCCTGAAGCAAAGTTTTAAGCCCAAAAGAGCTACCAAAAACATAAACACCTTGATCAAGTCTATTTAAGCGGTGAAGCGGTTAAGTCTAGGCCTCTCTAGCAGAAGATCGGTCGTTTGATGCTGACGATGTTTGTTTGAGGGTGAGGCAACATTACCCAGGACAGAAAAAAAACACGAAAAGTAATCATAAAGCGGCGCAGCAACGGTTTTCTGAAAAGAATTGAGGGGCTCGTATGATCATAAATGATTGCCGTTCAAAAGTGTCCGTTACCCATTGAAAATGCTTTACCACATTCATTTTTGATCGATGATCTATAAAACTTTTCTCAAAACAATCTTGACGCCAACAATGAACTCAGACTCTTACATAGGTCGCGATGATTTTTTTTTCAGGATAAGTCTTAAAATTTGTGGTTTGATTAAATTTTCTGGCGCTTGATTTTCGAACTTTTTTTAAGTTCAGTTCATTTATTTTGTTAAAAGGAGGGCAAAATCAACTATCGAACAGCAAAAATTAAGGTATCGAAAAACGTGGTCGATTTTGTTTCAAAAGTAAAATTCCATTTTTAGATTTCCCAGCTCAGCTTTTCAAAAAGGGTTAAATTTATCATGCAAGTGTTGATTATAAATTTTGGTGTCCTACAATTTAATGACATACAGTTTAACAACGTACATTTTAACACTTAGTCATTTCACTAATAAACAATTCAAATCGACAACAATATAACTCCTATTTTCCAGTTTAACACAGTACCTTTTAACACCCAGTCAATTCACTATTAAAATTAATGCCGTATGAATTCCTGATCTTAACTTTTATCACACTAAATTAATCCTGCAATTAACACACATACCATACAGAACAACTTGGTTTATCTTAGTTATACATGCTAAAAGGAGGCTTCCTAATTTACTTAAGATTCTTATCTACAAGTTTGTCAGCTTCTTTTGAAAAAACGTTTCCTTGCAGACTCCCGGAAACGTAACTAAACGGAATAACATGACTCGTGGCTTTGCAATTTAATCCCAGGACAACAGCCCTTATTTTCGGGATGCAATGTTGGGACTACGGGCTGGCAAACCCTTCAGCTTTGCGTTTATGTGCCAACAGTTCAAAAAAAGCTAACAAAGCGATCAGGTCATAAGTTTGAGTTCAAGAATGATTCTAAAAAATAATGTTTTTAAGGCTTTTGGCATTGGTTAAACCTTTTTTAAATTTCTATAGCGGCTGAAAATTAGGCCATATTAGTCAAAGGACGTCTAATTATTTGAGGGCTTTTGAAGTTCTTTGAACTATAGCTTGTTTTTGGTTCATTATGGAACGATTCATTGAAAAAATTGGCAAGGCCACTTCATTTTGGTTTGAAACGTTTATATTGAATTCATTTGCAAGGTCATTTCTGTTCAAAACTTACGCGAATTAAGTAGCGCGAATTTGTCTGGCTTTAAATGGCAAAAATTTCTCTCGTTTAATTCGTTTAAAATGTAGCGATGTTAAATTGCTAAGGCAACAAAAAGTAGGGAGTGAAATTGTATGGTTTTAAGTTGTTTAGAGTTAAAAAAGGGGCGAACCATGAATTTTCAAGACCATCTCTACTTTCTTTGAAATTCGAAAGCTACGAATTTAAAAAAAAGTAAACCTGCGCTTTTTTTTCTGTTTTCATTGACGCTTTTCCAACTCGCTTTGCTTAATTTTGAAGATTGCGCACCAAAAATGGCTTTTTGGTCACGGATATCTAAAAATTTTTAAGTTATAGTAATGGTACAATTTCTTTTTAAAATTTTTGATATATAAATTAGGGAGTTTTTTTGACACGCGCGTGTTCTCAAAATTAGTATATATTCGTTAATAAAATTAAACCGTTACCAATTGATAGCTCAATAATACACTATTTCTTACATGATACAAACATAAGATTTCGGACCAAGTTAAAATCCTCCACCTCAAAGCCGTTCGAATTTTCAGTCAGTTAGAATAGAGCTATTTACACGCAGCGCTTAGCAAACTTAAATTAAATTGAACGCTGTTGTGGAGGATCTTGACTTGGTCTACTTGGGGGGAGGGTGATAACTTGATCCAAAATATTGAACTAAATTTCCCTTTTTGATTGACCTCTTTTCTTCGACAGCAGGTCAGATCGGGGGACTAAATGCGGACAGCAAGAGAAGAGTTTTGAGGACGGGGGGCACAGTCGGGGGGCAGAGACCACAGGGGGTAGTCAGGTGGGGGCTAACTCAACTACCACTTCCTACGTCACTTCGGCCTCCAAAGTAGCCTCCGATTTGTACTCGTACTCATCTGACGAGGAGAAACACGAGTGATCGTTCATTGGATTTTAATCAGCCTGAGGCTTTTAAAATTGACAAAAAAAAACAATAATTGGATCTAAAAAAGAAGGGCAAAGAAAACTAATTCATCAAAACGCCATTGAAACCGATTCGACCGGCACCCGAAGCTCCTTCAAAACCAAAAAAAACGCCGGATAGCTAAACTTCGGATGATTGATATAAGAGCTACTAAATTGAATAGAAATATTAAAATGGATTCGAATTTTGAAGTAAAATAAAAATTGTGACTCTTCTTTGTTGGTTTGATATGTTAGTTTTCGGATATGAGTTTGATAGAGATAGATTAGCCAGCTAGAGAGTGTTGGCGTTTGGAATGAGGTCCAGATTCTCCAGTTTGATCTGGATGTCGATGGCTTTACTGTAGTCTTCGATCGCCTCCTCTCTCTTTCCTAGTTTGCCTCTGACGTCAGCACGTCTCTTCAGCGCCAGAGGGTCACTTGGGTTCATGTGAAGAGCTGCAAAAAACTCTTTTTCACCCAAAATTTCGAAAAAAAATCCTCTCGCTTTAAACAAACAAAAGGCCTTTTCTGGTATACGGCCCTAATTTATCAAATTAGTAATTAGAGTTTCTTTTTTTATTGAATATCCAGACTTTCTTTCACTGAAACTAATTTCAACTAATCAGATTCGAGAATTATGGTTCAATGATTGAAATTTGAATAAGATAATTTTTGAGCCGTATGACAAAAGACTTGAATAAATAAATTTGTTTTCGAGAGGAAAAAACTTGTTTGTAACCTACAAACAAAACAGTATCCCAAAAATGCCATATTAATGAACAATAAAAATTTAAGTTAGCTGCCAATCAAGTGGTGTCTTCATTTCGGATTACAAAACCGGTTCAAACAATTATAACTGCTTCTATAACTTTAATTAATGGTAATACAGAGCAGAGATTCGAAAGGTTTGCCTTAAATGTGAAGCTAAATAAAAATTGGGCATGGAATTTGTTAATGGTTCAACAGTAATTTTAAAGGGAAAAATAACATGCCTTGCAAAAACATTCTTTACTTCGTAAAAATAAAATTTTCTTAAAAACTGACCAGCCCATTTAACACCATAGTTTTCGGTTTTACTTGAATAAAGAATACAACAGTTCATCCATTTGATGGCTCGAACAATTTCGCAAAAAATTTGAATTTTTGAAGTAAGTTTATGAAGCATTTAAAAATTGAACAAGCCAAGTTGTCTTATAGCTTGCAATTTCAAACAATGACAGCAAAAAATTGAAACTTTTGAAGGCGTTTTGATGGCTTGAACTCTATTGCGGAGAGAATTACAATTTTCTGAAGTCAGCTATGCAAGCGACGAAAATTCACATTTGAATTCAACTGAGCGCATCAATCGGCGTGCTGACCTTAAAAATCAGTTGAAATGACTCGATTTTCGTGGATAGCTCTTTTTGGTTCGGAAAATTCTGAAGTTTTTGGGAGCAAAAAATCTCGATTTTTAATCAATTCAGTTTCTGCCATGAGAACAGTCAACATTTTCTAAATTTTTTGGAGCAAAAGGTTCGAGCAGTAGAAAGTTGAAAAATTTAAATTCCAATTGAAAGCTTCAAATGATAAGCCGTATATTCAATTTATTTTTTAGAAAAGAAACTTAGACACATTTTTTTCTCATGACTTGAACAACGTTCTTTCTATGCCTTTAACTGATTGGCAAAAGTTGGCTTCTAGTTGCAAGCTATTCAGGAGATTAAAACAGGAAAAACTTTAATTTGTTTTGATACGTGAAGTGATTAAATAGAAGTCAACTACTTGAATGCGTCTGACACACTTCTAGCAATCAAGCTTCTTCGCCGTAATCTTTTTTTATGCGTAAGCACAATCAAGGTCTCCAAATCTAAACTAACTTCTAAGCTGAGGCTATTATTGAACATGCATAAGCGCTGTTCTGCCTAGCTTTGCGCTGCTCTGTCATGCTCCTACTTGCCCTATCTTGCTCCTTTGTCCACTACCCTGCGCTGCCTTGCTCTAAAAAACCTTGCCTTGTTCTTCGCTGCCTTGCCTTGCGTTTCTCTGCCTTACTTTGCGCTGCTATACTCCTTCTTACCTTGTCCCAACTTCCATTGCCCTGCTTTGCCTTGCGCTGCCGTAACTTGCTTTCGCTGCGTCGCCTTAGTTCGGGCTGCCCTGCCATGCTCCTCCTTGCCTTGCGCTGCCCTGCTCTTCATTGTATTGCGCTGATCTGCCTTGCTTTGCCCTGCAATGCTGCTCCTTACTTTGTTCCCCCTTCCACTGCCCTACCCTGCCTTGCTTTGCGGCCGTATCTTGCTTGCGCTGGCCTACCTCGCTTTGCACTGCCCTGTCATGCTTCTTCTTGCCTTTATCTGCAATGCCCCTACTTGCCTTGCGTTGCCCTGCTTTGCCGTGCGCTACCCTGCTTGCTTACTTCTCCTTGAGTTGTCCTCTCTGCCTACCCCTCCTTGTGCTGCCCTCCCTGCCCTGCCGCTCCTTGCATTGCGCTGTCCTGCAGTCAAAACTTCAAGATAATCTGTCAAGACATTTGAGCTTTCAAGCTCGCTTTATTTTGAAGCTCAACCATGTTAAATCCAATCAATTTCTTACATGTTGTACTAAAGCATCCGAAAAAAAAGACAATCTCGGCCAACATTTTGACAGGTGACTTATAAATAAATGTAACAAGGGCAAATCTAATATGTTGATTTCAAAAATTGGAAAACCTGTTGACTTTTCAAGGTCGAACAAATTCATTCTCCATATGTAACTTTTCAACATGTAACTGATTTATTTTCCAATATGTAAGTGACCTTGACCACTTTTATGTAGCTTTTCAATATGTAACTAATTTTTTTCCCCAAAATGTAAGGGACTTTGACCACTTTTATGTAACTTTCGATTATGTAAATTATTTTCTACTATGTAACTGACCTGGACCACTTTTATGTAACCCATTACGTAACTGATTTTGCATTATGTAACTGACCTTGAGTGTAGTCCTGTTCGGCCTCCTCGTATCTTCGGAGGGACGTGAACAGGTTACCCCGGTTGAAGTAAGTATGAGAGGAGTACTTGTTCAGTTCAATCGAGGCACCGAAGTCCCGCAGAGCACCCTCTGGATCTCGCAGCAACACCTGCACAACAACAACAACAACTATTACATCCAATCAGCCACTATAATGAAATGAGTCACCTATAGGAGCAACAAAAAACTCAGCGAGGAGTCCATAATACAATGACACCTAAATTCTAAAGATCCGAACAATTAGTAACAAAAGTAATCTCGCTTTACAAATGAACTCGTCACATGAAAAAACGCAAACATGTAATATTACATGATCCAACATGTGAAAACACATGTTTCAAATGACTTGTGATTAAACACATGTCTTAAGTACATGTTTTTTCCTCATTTTCTTTAATGAATAAAGTTGTTAGGTAGAAGTAGAGCTTTGTTTGGCATTTTAGAATATATCGAAAATCATTTTTAGTTGGGATCATCTGATCTTTTTTCTTAAAAGTGGCTAATTTTGGAAGTTCAGTACCTGGTCGACTATTTTACCAATTTATGTTTGGCAGCTGCCTACGAAACAAAAATTGGCAAAACAGTCAAGTAAGTTCGGAACTTCCGAAATTAGCCCCTTTTAGGAAAAAAGATTAAATCCCAACTATGATTGATTTCCCATACATACTGTAACGCTTAATCAAATTTTAATTAAAGGCTTGCTTTAGACGATAAATTACTGTTGAAAAAGCAGTTCTTGGGAGAAAACAAAACGAGTCAGATTAGGAAACTCAGGCACTAGCTAAAAAAAGTGTGTCTCATCGTTTGGAAAGTTTTTCTTGCGACAAAACAAAATTTAAATTGATTCAGCTCGATATTTGACAAAATCAACCTAAAAAAAATCAAGTGGGGGTTTACAAATTTCACGTACCAACACTTGCAAAAACACATACGATTCTCAAAATTTTTTGATTTTATTATGAACTTGTGAAAAAATGTCCAAGCTAATTGAGAGCCTTATTATTGGCATTGATTGCTTCAAAAAGATCGAAAGTTTAGTTCCCAAAATGAAGCTAAAAAACTCCAGAAACTAGTCTTACCTATTTAACAGTATGTTTGAAGGTCAATGTTTAAATTAGGCATAATTCAGCTTGTAAGCCAGCTCGGGTGACTTAAAAATATAAACGCTATTATTCTTCACGCTACTTTATTCGCTCGAAATAAGACAAAAAATCAAAATTTTCAAACCGGTTTTTCTCGACACTGGGAAATCTTTTTGGAAACTTTTTAAGGTGATTCGAATCACGACTGAAAAGGCTTTAAAATGATATATCACCAAACCCAGTACGATCATTATTTGTGGTACCTGATTTTGCGTGGAGAACAAAAGCAAAAAAAACTATGACACACCCGAACACAAAGTTCCTCCCCATTTTCAATAGTCGGAACAATAACCGATAGAGCCAGGTGGTTCTCGCATTCTGTAACAATCATACCTTGCAAAAGACACTCCTCTCATATTTGGATTACAATTTCATCCCTATCCATGATTCAGCAAGCATGCATAAACTATCCAGTTTCTCTCAAATTATTTCTACTCTTTTGCAAAAAGTATTTTTTATGGTGTGGGCGGTTTTTTTTTCCAGTTGGTCTAATTTGATTTTTTAAGTTTCCCTAAAAGCTTGTAAATACCTTGTTTGAGAAAAAAATTCAGCGCGCGCTCCCATCTTAAATTTAGTTGCATTGGCACGAAAGCGTCTTTACAAAAATTTTGAGGTTGACCAACCAACCAAAAATGGGCGTCGTAAAATAATACTAAAGAAAGACCCTTTGGAAAAATTTGCCAATTAGACTTGAGGAGGTCGACACCGCCCCCTCTTTACGCTACTACCGAGACCGAAAGTAGAGGGATTCGGGCGCACGATCCTCGGGTTAAAAACGGCGGCCGCTGAAAGGAATGTTCATTTTACTCTCCAATAGTACCTTGCATATGGCCCTGTTGAGGAGCGCGGCCTCGTCCTTGCGGTTGAAGCGGACTGCGTGGTCGTAGTAGTGCTTCGCTTGTTGGAACTGCCGGTTGCGGAAGTAGAGGTTGGCCGCGTTGAAGTAGGCCAGAGAGTAGCCGGGGTCTGTCCGCACCGCACTCTGGTAGCTCTGCATCGCATTCGAAAAGTCCTTCAGGAACTGAAACAAACAAAACGATAGTAGCTGATTTAGAAAGCATATAAAAAACACTACAATGACTTTCTTGAAAAAAAATCTCAACTTTCGAATTTCAAAGAAAAAAATAGATGCCCTTTAAGCTCTTTGAATTTCTTAAACAATTTATGATTGGCGCTTTGTGATAACGTTAACCCAACTTGAGAAAACTGGATCAATAGGTAAAGTTTTAATTTCGCTGGGAAATCTTAAAAATAAATTCCACTTTCGAAATCAGAAATTGTTCACGTTTTTTTGCGTCATTTCCAAGTTCGTATTTGAAGAGTACTATTAACGTCACTTTCAGCAGATGAATTTCAATTGAAATGAAAAAGTGGATTATACCTAAGTGCATTGATACTTAAAAACTTTTTCCTGAAAAAACGAAAAAGCAGCAAGACTTATATGAGAGTCTTCACTATGTTCATTACTCTTAATAACCGGGGTGTCATTGCTTGCACATGATTTAACCTACTTTAAAACTGTTTTAACATAATCGTGGAACCTGATCTAAACTACATTTTATAATTGGATAAATTGGATACTTTACCACTGTAAAATATTTAATATTAACCAATCATAATCCATCTAACTAACAACCCACTTATTTGTAAGTGCTGAAATTACTTGTAATTTCAGCACCAGAGAGATTTGAATTTAACTTAGAAATTAGTTGCCTCTCCAAGAGAACTTCAGCAGCCGCAATAAACCAGTATACCCTAGATCTATTGAGCCTAGCAGAGACTAGTTAAACACCCTGAGACTAGTAAGTATAAGAGTAAGATTAGGATCGGTATTAGACTAAGAAGTTGCACGAATCTATCCGGCCGAAAATAAGATAGCGTGACGAGCAGACGGTGTACCCTATCCGAAATTACTCTATGAGTTAACCACATCGGTCACAACTCAATCGCATCAAATTTTTCTGAGACAGCAAAGGTGCCAACTAAACCAATTTTACCGGAAGGAAAAAACATCCAGCAAAAATTGTTCATTTCCTAGGAAAAAAGAGATTTCAAACATTTCCGAACATATTTTTGCGAAGCCTAAAATCGAGCGAAAGAAACAACAGCTTACGCTATAGTTTCTTTTCACTCCGTGATTAGTCGTAAGCCAAAACAAAAAACTCGTTATGTGAACACTTTGAGTTATTCAATTTCCTAGTTATTTACCCCTGATAAAAGAAGTATTTTAGAAGCTATTCGATATAGAACGCAAATGGTTGTCCTGGGGTTCTATTTGAATCAGATTTTTATCAACCATTTATCAGGGAGAAAATTGAGCACTCTTATTCAAAACTTTACATATTGGCTTCAAAAGTTCCCTTGTCGTTTGTTTTTGGGGATCATCGGCCAAAAATGAATGTCATAAACATACAACAATTGGATATCCTTTGGGTCACGAAAAGGTCGAAATCCTGGATAAGGGAGGGGTGGAGGTCACAATAACTAATTAAGACGAAACAGCATTCACAAGCATTGATCCGTAATTATCCAGTACTTCCAAGAAGAAAGATAGACATCCTTCATTCTTTTGCACCATGTCTACGACATTTGAATTTTATTCTTTGCCGAACCTAATTTTGCCACATTTTCGACATGAATATGCCGCCAATCAACAATTCTCCCGCGAATTAGACGATATTTACTACGAAACGACTTGATTCTTACCACCGAATGGAGAACTAAATTAGCCGACTAACTTAATGACATGAACTAAGCGCCAAATTAAAAAACTGAAAGACTCAAAACTCAATAATCAAAAGAAGTCATTTAAAAGAAACAACTAAACTACGATCTGAAATTGGAATCTTAATCATCCAAAACGTATTGCCATTGTCACACCACGTAATTATCAAAATTCTATTTCGATTCTATTACACTCATCAAAATCTACACCCATCAATTTCGGCGACGCGTTTCTGTTTGTTTCCTACTAACCTGATGAACGACTCCTCTGTTCGTAAGCAGTTCAGCACTGGGCTTCACTTTGATGGCCGCCTGGAGGTCCTGCAGGGCTGCGAATGCCTGGCCCATCTGCAGATTCACTATCGCTCGTCCCTCTAGCGCTGGAATATATCCTAGAACGAAAATTAGAAAAAATATTCATGGGACAGAGGAAAAAATTACTGCATTCGAGATTTTACCCGAATCTTAAGCTGCCGGACCACCGGATTCGGCAACCGGATTGCAAAACATCAATAGAAAAATACATAATCAGCCAAGTTAACATAATGACAGGAAAGAATACACAAACGGGCGTATTTTAGAAATATAGCAGCCTTTTATTGATTTTTTCCTTCAAGTTGAATGAAATTTAAAAAAAGAGTAATTATTTAAAACTAAATTTGCAAACAATTGCAAGCAAAAATGCGGCCTAAACAATTGCAAACAAAAATGCGGCCTAAAAGCAACACGTGTATGCGTTGTAAAAGTAAAACGTGTATATTTGTTTTTAAAAAAGCAAAACGCGTATCCCCATAAAAACTTGCCACTTGTTCATGAATTAGAATAGTTCTGGTTTGATTGGATGCTCACGAGGGTTCTGTGCTATGGCGATTGAGAACTGACTCCACGCTTGCTTCATTAGTCCGCCCACCTGCAAGTTGTAGGCCAAGTTCACCCTCGCGTACAGACAGTCTGGCTTGAGGAGCAACGCTTTGCTGTAGTCGTACCTGAAAAAAAAAAACAATTTACTTGTTACGAGGCGCTAGAAAACAAGCTAGATTTTAGTCTTATGGCGCTCTCTCAAGTAATTTTTTGTACGCGAAATGGGGGGCGGGGTTTGCTCGGCACGCTAGTGGTTATGAATTATTGAAAATGAACGTCAGATTTTTGTTTGGGCTTAAAAGCTTGCATCAAAATTTACCGTACTGTAATAGCAGCGTGATGATTGTTACGTTTCTGAACGATGAAATCCGGAGAGTTCAGTAATGGTTTATTTTTCCCAGAGAAGAGGCTGCACTTTGCATATACAAGCAAAACATAGCCAACAGACAGTTGGAAAAGAGTCAATGAACGCAAAGAAAAAGAAAGACTGACTAATTTTATGAACTTTCGAATTTCAAAGAAAAAAACATATGGCTTCAAAGCCCTTTCAAATTCTAGAACAATTAATGATTGAATAATTTTTTGAAAAAATTAACCCAAATTAAGAAACTTGTTCAATAAGTAACTTTTTTATTTTGCTGGAAAATCTGATGATTGAATTCCAATTTCGAAACTAGAAGTCGATCACGTTTTTCGTAGCTTTTACACTTTTGCTGATCGATAATGGAGTTTGTCTTCCTTTTAAGGAAGTACATGAACTGAACATAAAAAGAAATCAGAAGTCAAAGGGCAAAAAAAAAACAAATTTAAGTGTGAACAAACTTTTAGACTTTTTCCTAACAAACAATTAGAGAAATCACCAACACCTATATAACTAACTATACAAGATTACTTGCATCAAGGCAACGCCTTGAATCTGAATGTTCCTGTTCCGACTGTCCATAAATTGGTCTCAAATTGTTTTTAATAAATGAATTATTGACAAACTATGAATTTTAAACTGATTATTAAAAATCGTGTATGGAATTATTAAGGACAATTAGCCTGCCTCAATTGAATTTGGATCGATTATCACAGCGCTCTTAAAGTAACGTTAGTCTATTAGTGAGCGTTCCACAGCATACTTTCAGCCAGGATGGTCAAGTGGTACAAAAAGCTATATGGATCGATCCCCGAGGGAAATTTTTTTGAAAATTGGTCTGAACAAAAAAAAACCACCCGAGCATATATCATTACGAGGCCAGACTATATATTTTGTGATTTGTAAGCAGATTCCATTCCCTTTGTTCTTCTTTTGCTCTTTCATTTTCTTTGATCGTTCCGACAAAATTCTAATATGTTTAAGGACTTGTCTCTGGAGTCCAGGAACATACAGACACAAAATTGTGCGCCTATCCAGTGCACAGATTGGCCTCGAGGTGATATTCCTAATCTTCTTCGATAGTCGGAACAAAAAGAGTATTCACTACGTTCATGAGTCGTACAAAATTAGGAAAATTTCAAAAAAGAGAAAACTGATACGGGATTTGGACTCGGATCTCTAAAACAAGCCTTATCTTGTACAATTTTTTCCTAGATATCATTCGACTTGCGTTAGGAAAAACTATTTATAAAAAATATGTGCTATTTGTGACTAAAACTTGCGACTTGCATTGGAAAAATTGAACTGGTAGATTATCACTTCGCTCGTAAGCTGATGATGTCAATCGACTTTTTATGAATGAAAATAGAATGGGTTGACGGCGTTTTGGGTATAATATCAATGCGATCATTTTGGGTCAAAAATGATGACTCACTTTGCCATTTGGTATCCATTGTCTGTGGCCAGGTCCATGTAGACGTTGCCTCTGCCGATGTAGGCGTCCAAGAAGAACCGGTCTGCCCGGATGGCCTCCGTGTAGGCGTCGATTGCCTTGCGGAACTCCCGCTGCTTGTGGTAGCACAACCCCAATGTATGGCCTATGCTCGAACCTGCGCGGCAAAAAAAAACACTATAAAAAAAATCGAAACCAACATTAACATGCAGCAACTATACCAACATTAGCTAATACAGCATAAAATTCAGAAATCTAAATCTGAGGACTAGAAAAAAAATTGAAAAACGGCAGTTAGCAACGAACATGCATATAGGATGAGGCGACACTTAGCACAGTGGTAAAACGTTTGCGTTAAAATCGAGTAGTTGACCCCAGAGGGTTTAGGAACTTAGACGACAGGAACTTAGACGATCAGAAAATAACGGAATTAAGGCAATAACTTGCGTGCAAATTACGTGAAACTTGTTTACAGACTTAAACTATCTTTTGGCTGAGTAAATACTGGTTGTCCGGTCTAAGGTCTAAACTAAGGCTGAAGATATTCATCAGCATATGAGGAGCATGTGTTCAGACTGCTCGAACTGAACTCCTCGAGTTTCGAAAGGGTTGCAAAATACATTCAACTAAGTACTATAGTGCTGATTAAATAGTTCGGTTAAAAACAAATAAAATTTAAATCGCGTTTTTCTCAAATTCAGTTGATTTTAGACGAAAAATGACAAGACAAATTCTATGACAAAACTTGCTTAGAAAATTAGTAGAAATATTATGGTACAATTTATTTTGCTTAATTCGGGCCCAAAACTTTACGCAAAACGGATCATTTTTGGCTTTTTTAGTCAATCATAAATTAACCAGAGCTACCGGATCAATTTCTCCCCAAAACTAGCCTCATATCAAAAAAGTGTCGTATTTACTATATAATGCCAATTTTTCAGTTGAAAACCATTGTTTAGCGTTTCGCTTAATTTTTAGGAATTTACACTCTCATAAATAAGAGGGTCACTTTATGATTGACTAAGGAGAGCCAAAAATAATCCGTTTCGGGTAAGAGTTTGGGCCCAAATATTGCAAATTAAATTGCGCTTAAAAATTTCTGCTAAAAATTTAAGCACTTTCTGTCTGCATTTTTATATTTTCGTCTGAAAAGTCAACTGATTTAAAGATAAACGCGTTTCAAATTTCAAGTTTTTTTTCGTTTTGTCCGTAATTTAAATCAACACTGTCCCGGGTTGATCAACACTTCTCATCATAAATTTGCAAATATGAAAAACTTACAATAATTTCAATTCCATACGTACAGAAAATTGTATGACAAAAATTTTTCCATTTATAGAAATTGTATTGCAAAACATTTTTTAAAAATCAATTAAGGCAAAATTAGCGTTTAAATCCTTCCCATAAGATCTGCAAGATCACTGAACAAAGAAGAAAACCTGAGAAAGTTAAGAGTATTTTAGAGGTTATCAAATATTTTGAAGTTCAGTAACTTTCACTGCTTTTTCTTTCTCAAATTTTATGATGAGAAGTGTTTATGGGAAAATGTTCATTACACAACTTCCATATTTAGAAATTGCACAATAAGCGTTTTTTTTCCAAAAAAAACCAACTCAATTTTTTTATCACCACTCAATTTTTTATGGGCTGGATTAATCGCTGGAATCAATTGACATCTTTTTCGAATCATGTTTAGAAAACGTATTAAATTTTTATGACAAGCATTTTTCCATAAACTTGATGTTTGGAATTGTATGGTAAACATTGTCGGTGTATGGAGGTCAACCCGGGTATATATTTAACAAGACTGCTCGTATCAGGGCGAAGCCCTGAATGTTCCGACTGCCTTTTGAGGTTTATGGAGCAGTAATAACAAAAAAATATATATTTAATAAAATAAAATGAAAATTTTTTTTTCTGATTTTGATTTTTTTTTAATGAAAAACATCACCCCACATGCCATATAAAGTACAAAAGGATAGATTTCGCTCATTGTAACAAATTAATTATGGCAAATAAGCTTCGTTCAACCAATTTGGAACGATTTCTAAGACGGATTAAATCTCCGCTTACGCGTTAATAGCGCGAAATATATCGCGCGTTAATTGTCCCAAATTGGCCAAAATGGCAATGTTTAAACCCCCATAACTTTACGAAAAATGGTCACAGTTCAAATATCTTTTCAAATTTCAGCTCAGGACAACGATAGCTTTCGAATGATATAAAACAATTTCGTCAAAAATGGCTAGTTAAAAAGCCGAAATTTGTCTGAAGAAAAAAAAATCCACCCCGAGCACAAATATTTCCTTACTTTCGTATCGAAAGTCGGAACAATAAACTAATTCTTAAGTGGCCATGAGAAAGCGCTCTCGTACCTTGTCTGTTGACCTTGAATGCGTCGTAGAAGTCGAGGAGTGCATTGTTGTAGTCCTCCATTTGGAAGTACAGCAGACCCCGGTTGATGAAGACCTTCTGCTTCAGTCTACCATCCAGCAACAGGGCCACGCTGTAACTCTTTAAAGCCTGAACACAAAACAGCACAATCAGTCCATATATCAATGTCAGAAGATCAATCGCGCATTTTATAATCTATTCAACGAACACTTTCCGCTCATTTAACAAATTTGATTGTGTTAATTTGTGAAATGCCTTCGTCATTTAACACTTTCTAAAACGCTTTTGTAAATTTTGGCTGAGAAAGGTCCAATCATTGCAACTATATATTCATGATAGCAGAAAGGACTATCTTCGTTTTATGATTGCAAGCATTGAAACACTTTAGTAACGCAGAAAAAAAAAAGAAATTCGAACTGTTTTTCATTCAGTAAGCACTATTAATTAATAGAATCAAAAACTAAAGCAAAAATTGAAATGTTTTATCAGTCCACTAAAAGCGAAGACTGTAATTGACATCAGTAATTAACACTATTAAATTGTTGAAATTGAGCTGAAACAGTTCTTTAAATACTACATTTATAGCTAAATGCCAAAATGTTGGCAATATCGGTGACCATGATCAACTCAATCGGTCAAAAACTACAGCGTTTTAGGTTAATTAGTTTTTTGAAAATGGTTTTCAACTGGAAATTAAGGCTAAACTGAAAAACGACGTCAAAATGAGCAGTTTTAGGTAAATTAACTTCATTCAGATTCGTTGACCGAAAAAAAATATTACCAAAATTTCGGCATTAAATACAGTGCCGGTTTAAATTATCCGGTCAAAATGCATTAAACTTAAAACGCCCCGCATCCAAGTTTAGGCGTAATTAATGGATTATAACGGATTATTATGATGATTTTTTGACAATTATAATTGATTATAATTGTGATACTTTCCAAGAGATTATAATCTGTTACGATCGATTATAATTGATTATAGTTCTTACAATTATATCTTATTTTGCCTAAAATTTGTCAATTCAAAACTATATTCGAATTATATCTTATGGGTTATTATTTTTGTGTCAATAGGAAAATCTCTAAAAGAGAGATCTCTCGAACACTTTGGTTCATCTGAACACAAAGTTTTACCACGAAACAAAAGTTTTATAGAGATCCTTTTATATGAGTGGAAAGGTTCCCGCGGTAAATGAAAAATGAATCTTCCCAATCAATCATGAAACTAAATCAATTTGCTGATGTTTTGGTGTTTAAAAAAGCTTTAAATATGCATTACAAAACATCTCTAATGGGGAAGAAAAAACTTACAAAATTGAATTAATAGAAAAACTTTAAAAATAATTCTCTCATTTTCATAGGAACCAACGTCTACAAAAAGCAAAAAACATAGGCAGTTTAGATGCAACTTCGAAGAAAAAATGGACAAACAAAAGGGATTATAATCAATTATAATCGATTATAATGGATTTTTGTGCAAAACTAAAGAACTAGAAATTTGAATAAAAATAATAGAATATAACCAATTATAATCGATTATAATTGTATCGAAAAATAGACGAATAAACAATCGATTATAATTAATTATAGTTTGATTTTAAAAAGAGAGATTATAATCGATTATTAATTGATTAAAATCGATTGTTTCTCAATTTTAGTAAGACTGGTGCTAAAATCGTAATATAATCGATTATTAACTCTTGAAACTGGATGCGGGGCAATTTTCTCAAACTGGATTGAATTTACGTAAAAAAAAAAGATGACAACAAAAATTGCTGGGAATTTCAGCCAATATAAATTGGTGCAATTAATTTTGCATTTTAGTCAATCAAAAATTACGGCGAAACTTTTAGTCGATCATTGACATAATTATATCAAAGTGAGCCTCTTACCTATTCCAACAAACTTTCAGCAGAGTATACTCTCCAAAACACTGAATTAATTAATTTATTTTTGTTTGATAGAAACACGATGTCGTTTTTACTATATAAAACAACACTTTTTTGTTTGTTGTTTTATATAGTTAATTTACCAAAATTAACATTTTTTTGAGGAATTTGAGCAAATTTTTTGGAGGATCTACCCTTCTTAAAGTTTCTTGGGCTACGTAAGAGGATTATTCTGATATAATTATCAAATTAGGTGGACTCGATGGTTTCAGGGTAACTTTTGATTGACTAAAAAAAACCAAAAATAATCCATTTTGGGGTGAAAATTTGGGCCCAAATTTCACAAACCCATTACACCACATTAAATTTGGTAAATTCTAAGCTAATGTTGCCTTTATCATTTTTGACCAAAATCAATCCAATTTGCCAAAAATGCTTTTTAAATTTCTAGTTTAATGCGCTTTGTCCGTATATTTTAAATCAGCACTATCAATGTTAGTACGTATCTTCGTTTGATAGCCTCTCAACTTGCTCTCGGCTAGAATGATTATCTTGCGAGATCCCTTAAAAAATCATGCATCTGTTGTATAGATCTTGCAAAGTTCTTTAAAGCATAGCCAACACACAGTTGGAAAAAAGCTAATGAACGCAAGTAAGCAGAAAAAAATACCGACCTGCATTTTGAAAAAACCTCAACTTTCGAATTTCAATGAAAAAAATAGATGCCCTTAAAGTTTTTTGAATTTCTAGGACAGTTTCTTGTTGGCTCTTTTTTGATAAAATTAACCCAATTGGAAAAAAATTGATCAATAAATAAAGCTTTTATTTCCCTGGAAAATCTGAAAAACTTAATTCCACTTTCGAAACTTTCACATTTTTTGCGACCTTTACACTTTTGCTGTTTGATAGTGGAGTTTTTCTTCCTTTTAACAAAGGAAATGAAATGAAGTTAAAAAAAAATAAGATTCAAACCGCAAGAAAGTTAACTTGACCCTGAGCAAATTTTAAGACTTTTCCTATAAAAAACACAAAAAAAATCATCGCGACTTATAAAAGAGTCTGAACTAAGTTCTTCGACTCTTAAAGATGACCATTCTTAGTGATAACCGACCTGTTCGTATCGTTTGATGGTGTGGAAGCAGACTGCTTGGTTGAAGAATGCCTGTGAGCAGCTGCTGTCTATGTTGATAGCCGCCTGCAGATCCTCCAGACAGTGTTCGTAGTCCCCGCTCAGGAACTTGAAACCACCCCTGCAACATTTTATAAATTTTCAGGATATTTTTATTTATTTATTTATTGAGTAATCTAATATTAAAAAACAAAGTTTACAATTTGTAGTTTAGCTCATGAAAGGATAGCCAGAAGGCCAACGAGAGGCTTGTTGAAGGCTGCCCCGTAAAATCGTAAGAATCAATGACATCGTATCAAATCAAAAAAATAATGAAATAAATATAAAAAAAGGATGTAATAATACAATTACAATTGAGGTTTCAGCTATTTGCAGAGTATCTATGAAAGGCTCTCAGGCCTGTCTAAGCATAGTCCGTTTCTATTATACCCCAATTTCCAGACTGAGTTAATTGGTCGAAGCGAAAGCGAAGCTCTTTTTTGTGAAAGACGTTTTTTTGCGTCTAGAACTTTTACGTGGTACCACTATTGCGGCCTCCCTACAGAAACGACTACTTCCGTTCCATACTAATTTGAGACAATCATTTTTGGCTGAAAACCCCTAAAACGTACTTGAGTCACACTGGGCGCTAATATTTACAAATATTGATGAGAAAGCGCGCGGCGAAAAAAAAACGAAAAGTTTTTCTGGTCAAAACATTTTAGAAAAAATTCAAAGTGGTTCGAATCCCAGAGGAGGCATCCAGCTAATCGCCCAACTAAATCCGCTACTGGATAACTACTTTATTCTCAGATCGGCAGCAATCTTGTTGAAATTAACACCAAGCATGAAACATGCAATGGCTCTTGAATGGTTAAACTGCAATTGATGGGTATGAAAAGTTATCAACCAACCATATCATTCCTCCTTTTACCGATGTCGGAATCTTGAGAAAAGTAGCAGGTATCTGTGAAGCTATTGATTGAGATGAAGAAAAAATGAAAAATTTAGGTGAGAATAGAATACCATGCCATAGACCATAGCTTACCTGTAGACGAATGCGCGAGTGTTGTCCTTAGTGATTTTGAGTGCCTCGTTACAGGACAGGATGGCTTTGGAGTACCTGCCTTTGATTGCGTAATAGCAGGC